GAGGGGAAGAGAGGAGAGATGAGGGGAGATGGGTTGAAATCAATAAATGGGAAGAGAGGAGAGGAGAGGAGCGAGAAGGAAGAGAGGGCGAAGTAAGAGCAAGAAGTAGCAAGAAGAGGGAGGGAGGAGGGAGGGTTAAGGCTATGAACCGCAATGCGGGTATCTCAAGCAGCAGCAGCAGCAGAGCAGGCTAGCAGCAGTCAGTGTGAGAGAGAAATCGACGACTAACTCAGAGGAGTAATCGAAATCGGGTGGACTCCATACCTATGATTCAATTCGAGGGGGAAATTATTACTAGTTGGCCACGAATAAGTATCGCTGATTGGCACGAGGCGATTCAAGACACTAAGTCACTTCTGCCGTTTAGCCCCATTCCGCTAAGCGCACGGCGATAACAGTTTGGGTAGTTTGGGTGGGTGTGAGAAAGAAAGTGGGAGAAAGTGGGATAAGAGCGATATGGAGAATTGGAGATTGGAGAAGAGAAGCGAGATCAGGAACCCATTCCACCACCACGTAGAGTAAAGGGTAGTGAAAGGATTAAGATTGTTGACAATGTTTGGGTATCGAAGGCATGAAATGAACAACAAAATATAATAGATAACAAAAAGAAAGAAAGACTCAGGGAAAAAGAACTTACCAATTCACACAACTCCCCTAAATTAATTCACTCATTCAACTGTTGTCTCCTATCGATCGATTTCCCTCGCTTTACTTGCAATGGGCTGGTGGTGCTGGCTGTTGCAGCACTGGCCAGCCCTGACTCCACGGTTTTGGACCAGTCTGGTAAGCCGCGATTAGTTTACCACCCTTTGCGCTCAACCACCTGCCCCGGGCAAATCTGATTGTGTGGATGTGTAAGTCGAGATCCACTTGGGTGAGAAGTGCGTGAATTAACACCGGCGACTAGTGCAATGTATGTCCGAGGAACTGTGTTGATAAGTGGTGGTGGTGGTGGTAGTGGTGGTGCTTCTGCTTCTAGTACAGTACAGCAATGCAGTGAGTGATATGTCACTAATCACTACCTATGCTACTCTGTACGGAGTAGATGGATGAAAGGCTTCTGGATGGATCGACTCCGATAATAATACATAGTAGTATTTATTCTTTCTCCGCTGCGACTCCATTATTTCATCATGCATCGCCCCTCTAGATCTTCGAGAGTCCATCTGACCAGGATTACTTTTCTGCTCCTGCTTCTGCATCGACGGGTTGAATCATACCGGGGATTGCAGCATGGGCGTCACGGTGCCGAAGTCCGGTTTTTCCCACCACTTCCTTCCAGTTTCCCCCCCAGGGCTGACTAACTACCCTACTTCCCCCAATCACCGCGAGTCAGAGTGAGTTTGACTGACGGTGGGGGTTGCATTCGCTTGAACATCGCGAGTCTCGAGGTACGACGGTCCGGCAACAACGACCATGGTAGCGTTGCCTTTTCTTCTGGTTCTACGCCGACCTGGAACGATCCCGAGTCAATTCCGGCCACTGTGCTGAACGGCTGTCCTTTGATAGACCCCAGTCGGGGCACGAGCTCTCCCATGCCATTGACGCGCAAAGCATGCACCTACAGGTGGCCCATTCTGGTCAACGCCGGGCGGGTGACAGTGACAGTGACAGTGACACTGTAACTACAGTACAGTGTGAACCGTACCCACCGGACAGGCCGAAAGTGAACCAAGCTGTATCCCTGGCATGGAAAGTAAATGTGGCAAAATGGCAAACAATCCTACCCCGTCCTTCTCCTCGTTCTCGTCCTCCACCCTCCACCTCATAGCCCATCTGGCCTAGACTGGGCCAGGAGTCCAGGACAGCGAGACGGGGGAGAACAGACGCAAGGTTTGTGTCTCTGTCGTGGCCGGTGCTGCACCGAACCTTTCCAGAAGGATGGCCAAGACGTTCCGATCGACGTGCCACCACCACCTATCTCATCCATGCCAGGGATCCTGGTCAATCTGGGAAGGCTCTGAGCGGCTGACTGGTGTCCGGGGTACAGTACAACAGGTAGTAACCGACATCATCATCATCATCATCATCATCATTTCCAATTTCTACCGCCCGTTTTCTTTGTTGGTTCCGTGGCGGTTGGGACGGATTTTCTGAAGGGGGCAGGCAGACGACGGATTCAGACGAAACGTCAGTTGCCGGAAGGGGTCGGACGGTGGCACTGAGATAGATAACCCGTACCAAAACTCCTCGCCGTTCCTTCCGTGAGAGACTCTATCATAGGTTTTGAAAGCGATAACAATATGTAATGGGAATCGCACATAGAGGGGAACTAACTGTATTCAGCTGCGGTGACGAGAGATAATGCGCGAATCAACGGACTGGGATGGCCGAGAGCTCCGACTGCCCCGCTGGATGTCCCGAGGTGTTGCCTCCACTCGGCACGGTACTTCCGATCATGTTTTTGTTTTCAGACAGAAATCAAAATATAGTACCTCAATTCAACAACAAGGCCGGCTGGCCCAATGGTAAGGCGCTTGACTACGAATCAAGAGATTGCAGGTTCGAGCCCTGCGTCGGTCAATATTTTTGTGTTTTTGATCCTCACGTAGTTCATTCGGGTCTGTGTCTGTGTTGACTCCGCCAAGAAACAGTTATTCTTTTTCCAGATACCAACTCAGTAACAAGTTGTTCCATGTAAGGGCGCCGTCCCCGCGTGTGGTTGGGCAGGAAAAGAGGCTGACTGGCCGGGCAATGCTCCGATGATGTCATCAACACCAACCGCCCATGGGGTAACGGGGTTAACCTTTCAGCCTTCTAGAAGCCGCAACTGCTTTCCAGCATCATTATTCTCGGGTACGAATACATAGGGTTTAGTGACATGGCATTCAATGAGATGTACTTTCCCACTGATAGTCGTATGGAATGAACCAGGGACTCCCGAGAACAGCCTGAAACTGTTTGCGGGCTGATCATACCCTTATCCGTCAGGATGCTGGCTGAATGTGCTGGAGCGGTATGTGGCTATCCTCGTGGTGCGCATAAATCCGTCGAACAAGGCACTGACTGCGACACGTTTGGCATTCCCATTGTTCCCCAGCTCAGACACTCCCCTAGAATCTCTAGCCCCCAGTCAATCGAGCAGATCCTGAAACCGGCGACATTCCCGGGGCAAATTGGTATTCTGAACCCGGCTACACTTCGCATGATGTAATCGATCCCGCGCGGACTGGTGAAGGGCAGCGTAGGCCGCGAGAGATCGTCTCATCCTTTGCTCTTGGCCTTCTGGTCTATGACACGTATATCTGCTCGTAGATATGAGTACGAACGAGGTTGAGGAGCTTTCTCTCCCGGTTATTTCCGGTACTTTCCCTTGCCCAAATACCAACACCTTACCCTACCAATGTAGTAATTGGGTGGTCTGCCGTTGTTGATCTGATGCTTGTTGATACTGGCTGTTTAAAGGTATTAATTGCACTTGCAGCAGTGCTTGGCATACCTTAGCTTCTCTTTCTTGCTATAGTGTCGTGATCCCTTGCCTGGTTGGGACAGAGCAACCGGAATAACCGCTGTTCCGGGCGATCGGCTGTAGACGGTTGGCAGCCTGGCCTCTCTTCTCGCTGCAGGTACGGATTGAAGTCGCCGGAATCAGGGGGAGGGGGTGGTTTTGCGCCTCAATCTATGTATCAGTCGCTGCACTTTTGAAGAATTGAATCTTGCGCTAGCATTCTCTAATAATGAGAGCTCGAGGGGTCAAACCTGCAACCAGACCCTCCCTCCCATTGCTCTCAATGCGGAAACAACAATAGATCCCCGGGCCCCAGCTTGCTTCACTGTTCCCCCAGTAAATGATAGTAGCTCCTGGTCGATCGCATGATATCTAACCATGGCTGAGAGCAGATTTCCCTATAGCTTCTGGAATCATGCCTCTCATTACAGCTAAGCTCCTCACCCACCTAGTCCAATTGCTCTCGTAGACGTCGCGTCTCGAACGTAACCAGCTTAAGATTCGGATCCGCAAATACCTTCCCGTCGCATGGTGTACAGTTGAACGGAGTAATTTTATTGTCCTTACCCTCCTCCTCCCTGCGACGCGACACCCTCTTTCCTCCCCTCCCCTCCTCCTCCCTTCTCCCTCTCACCTTTTAGATTTGTGGATGCTCACAACCTCTGTCTGTCTACACCAAGCCACACCATTCATTAAGGCGCATGGTCTGAGCTTCTCGGATCTAGTCATTACTGGTTACAGTTCATGACTGTTGAGGATACTATAGCCCTGCCCTGCCCTGCACTTCCCGGGGCCACAACTCCCCCACGGATTAACGTTCCCCGATTTGATTAAACATTCGGAAAGGACCAACATACCTGCTGCCCGCCCCTAACTTCTTCCACTTTGCCAGTCTGCGCGACTTCTTCTTAATCTCCCCCATCGTGGACAGCACGACCTCTCAGAATCCTGTGCCCATCCACCTTCAATCCCATCCTCATCCTCCCTGAACAAAATCGTGAGTTCTCATCTGCTGCCGCTCCCTACCTAGTAACAAGCATTGTCTATCTCCTCCCACTCTGAGAGCCAGTCTCTGACCGCTTGCCCACACGGACCACCACCCACAGGTTTGAATTGCGCACAATGGCGAAGAAAGGCGGAAAGAGCAAGAATAAGAGCAAGTCCAAGGGCGGTGCTGCCGCCGCGAAAAAGGTTGCCGACGCTCCGGCCGCAGTGTAAGTGTTGCATCTTGTTCAATCGCACAAATTCTCTTTTTGCGCGCCGCGCTCACACGAGGAATTCTTTCCCCCTCCAGTGTACCCGAGCAGGAGGTCGAGGAAACCGTCACAAAGAGCGATGCTGAGCCCGAAACCGTGGTCACCGATGCTGGCGCAGCCGTAACTGCGGATGCTACCACCGCTCTTCCCGACACTGTCGCTCAAGGCATCACCACTGCCCCGCCTGCTGACCTCGCCCAGGAGGCTACCACCGCGGACGACGCCTCGCTTTCTAAGGCCGATGAGCCTGCCACCGACGTTGTCACAGAGGAGCCTGTCACGGTAGCTGGATTGAGTAAGCCATTGATTGCTACTTGTTGCATTTTTTTTTCTTCGCGGATCGATCGCTGACTTTTATCTCCGTCGCTGTCGCAGCCACTACTACCCTACCCGAGCGCCCCAAAGACACTGCTGTCGAACCAGAGAGCCATGACCATCAAGCGAAGAGACCCTATGAGAGTAGTCTGTTCCACAAGGAGGAAGACCACAAGCCGCCCAAGATCCCCAAGGTCGAGGAGGACTTGGATGCTACCACCTCCGCTAAGGCCGTTGAGCCCGTCGGCCAGGAGGCCGTTGGCGCGGCTGCCATTCCTGCAGACGAGACCATTGTTCAGCCCCAGATGGTACCGGGTCTGGGCACTGACCCAGCGGACAATGTTGATCAGTTGGAGGCCCCAGAGCTGAGCAAGGAAACGGCCGCTCCTGTCGAAGGTGCTGCTACCATTCCCGACGCCGCCAAACCCGCGACTGAGGACGCTGTTGTTGATAAGGCGGTTCCTGAGACTGTTGCTCCTGTCTCCGCAGCCCCTGTCACCGATGCCGCTGCCCAGCCCGAGATCATTGACGCTAGCGAGGCCCCTGCTACTGAGAAGCTCGACGCCCCTACTGATGTCGCCCAGACCGATGTCGCCCCTACTGATGTGAAGCCCGAAACTCTGAATGAGGCTGCTGGAGAGACGTCGAAGGAGGAGGCAGCTCCGATCGAGCCCTTGACTACCGAAACAGCTGCCGAGCCGGCTATTGTTGTCCCTTCCAGCATTACGGACGCGGATACGAAAGCCACCGATGCGGCTGTAAAGTCTGCAGCCGAGTCTGCTCCGGCCGCCGAGGCCCAGGAACCTCTGCAGGCTGCGGAAGAGAGAGCGGACACAGCTCCTGCTGAGGCCGCAGAGGACAAGTTAGATGCTGCCAAGGCCAAGACTCCGGAAGAGACTGCTGCTGCATCGAAGGTAGAGGAACCTCAGCCCCAGACCACCGAATCTCAGCCGGCCTCCACTGCCAAGGATGCGCAGAAGACCGACGAGGTTCCTTCATCGGAGATCAAATCCGAGCCCCAGGAGACTCCAGCTGTACAAGACACGCAAACTGCGGGGGCCACCGAGGGAACCACGGGCGCTCAAGAGCCCGAGAGCAAATCGGCGGCCGACCAGGGCAAGGATACGGCCAAGCTGGCCGCCAACCGGGCTCAAGAGTCTGCCAAGTCTGAGGCAGCAAAGGGTAATGCTGAGAAACGCAAGACTGGTCTCTGGTCATGGCTCAAGCGCAAGGTCAAGGGCGACAAGAACTAGACCCTATGAGCGATGTATGACCCAAATGCCCAAATGGCTGTTGGGGCGGTCGGAAATGATTTCCGGCTCCCTCTCCCTTTTATACTCTGATACCCAAACATGGACGGACGGACAGTACTTAATCATTCTGGAACACAATCGGGAAAAAATGAAAATCAACAAGACACAAATGACGATATAGAAAAGAAACGAAAGGGAACTGGGAAATCGCCGTCTGACTCCCAGGGTGGGTGGTCGGACCGCGATTGTACTGGAATATGACTTGGGCGGCAGGAACTGTTGGGAGTCAACGCCATGGATGACTGGAATGCACTGGGCTGCATTTGTTTACTTCTTGTGATGTCTCTCTTGATGGATTCCATGTCTCCCTGTCCCCTTTGGGTCGGAGTTGAGAATGGCACGATCGATACGGTACTTTTTGTTAATGGTAATGGGGCTGGGGGTGAAGAGAATGAGAAATTTATTGTATACGTGTAATGTTTTGTTTTTTTTTCGACTTGGAATTGCGTAGAGGAGAGGAGTGCTTGTGAGTCTCATTAGACTGCATCAAGTTGAGGACCAGAACAATAGCAATCTGTCCTCTTGTGAGAGCTTCAAGCCTGGTCAGCATGTGGATGGTTTGATAAGGGTGGGGAGAAAGAGAGGACAAGAAGGGCAAGGCAGAGAAGAGGAGGAGGAGGAGACGGAGATGATTTCACCGCCATTTCTTCCCCCATCGTTACTTTTCTTAGTCTCTTAGTCTATCCTACGGAGTATTTACGCTCGACTATTTCTTCACTATCATCAATACTATTGCTCTACAATTGTCAGGGCCCCTCTTTGTTGCGAACTAGCAGGCTAGCGGTGTCCATCACCCGTTGCGAGAGAGATTCTATTTATTCCTTTGCCCTTCTGGATGGGGCCCTGGATGGAGACCTGGTACCGAAGTTCCCCATCGGCGACAAGCGCACCAGCACCTCTCGACTAGTCTTCCTGCAAATGAATGCACACATACTCGGACATATACACCACAAATCTCAGGGTACTTGTCAGTCGCCTGATCTTGATATTGACCGCATGGATGCTTATCTAAAGCCAAGTGACATCGACCTGACATAAGGTCAAAACCACGAGCTGGAGCAAAGATGATATCACCGCTGGTTATGGCTCTCCACCCGCCCCACGAGACAACCACCAATCTTTCTTCCCAACATCGTGGCTGAGACCATATCCACTCGTTTCCCCCTTCCACCCGATCCAGGTCAAGCTTTCCTCAAGCTTTTAGCGCTGGATTGTACCTCGTCCTGATCCATTATTCGCTCAATTGCCAATCGAGAGGGAGAGATGAGGGGGGAAAACACGAAGAGGGGCAGCCCCTCTAGTCTACCCTCTCTACGTACTCAGTGCCACAAGTACGAGTGATTAGTCTGCCGAGGTGTGCTGCCGTCCCGGGATCGCCTGGAATTGCGACCATCTAGGGACCCCCCGAAAACTTGCGATCAGTGAATGATGGACGATGGCTCGAGAGTCTCGTCCCTGACTGGCTGTTTCGCCCTTCTGGGGCTGAGACCAACAGCCACTTGTTGTCTTTCCTCTCCACTCGTGTTGTCTGAGGCTTGAGCTGACGGGCTGATGCCGCCCACTTCCCTTCCCCTCTCCGACGAAACGAGCAGGGTACGACCTCCTGGCGGCGCGTCAACCCATTCCCTTTTCTTCATTGACTGATTTTCGGGCGTGCGCTATTTAAAGTCTCTGGTCTGCTGCTGCCTGAGCTGGCCTTTTTTCTTTCCCTCTCACACCCCTCCCTGTATTCTTCATTTCCTGCATCCCACTACGTCATCATGGTTCATCTCGCCCAAATCAAGCGCGATAGCGATATCGAGCAGTCCATCAAGCGGGTCAACTCGATCAAGCTCGATAGCGCTGAGGAGGATGACTTTTCAACCAGTGTCTATGGTTCTCGCTTCGCGACGGAGCAGTTGCCCCAGCACGAGATGCCGGAGCGCGAGATGCCCAGGGAGGTTGCCTACCGCATGATCAAGGATGAGCTGAGCTTGGATGGTAACCCCATGCTCAAGTGAGTGTGCTCTAGTGCTTCGTTTGTGAATCAATGGAACGCTGATCATTCTTTCTCCCGTGGCAGCTTGGCGAGCTTTGTGACCACCTACATGGTAATTTCGTCTGAACCATACTCTCTGGGACGTGACTGACGGTAAATAATAGGAAGACGAAGCTGAGAAGCTCATGGCCGAATCCTTCAGCAAGAACTTCATTGACTACGAAGAATACCCTCAGTCCGCAGAGATCCAGAACCGTTGTGTGAACATGATTGCCCGTTTGTTCAACGCTCCCACTGACAGTGATGATGAGCACCCCATGGGTACCTCGACCATTGGTTCGTCCGAGGCTATCATGCTGGGTACCCTGGCTATGAAGCGCCGGTGGCAAAACAAGCGCAAGGCCGAGGGTAAGGATTGGTCGCGTCCCAACATTGTTATGAACAGCGCCGTCCAGGTCTGCTGGGAGAAGGCTGCTCGCTACTTCGACGTGGAGGAACGGTACGTTTACTGCACGGAGGATCGCTATGTGATTGATCCGAAGGAGGCAGTCGACCTGGTGGACGAGAACACCATCGGTATTTGTGCCATTCTGGGTACTACCTACACCGGCGAGTACGAAGATGTGAAGGCCATTAACGACCTGCTGGTGGAGCGTGGTATTGACTGCCCCATCCACGTGGACGCGGCCAGCGGTGGCTTCGTGGCGCCCTTCATCCACCCCACCCTCAAGTGGGATTTCCGCCTGGAGAAGGTCGTTTCGATCAACGTGTCCGGCCACAAGTACGGCTTGGTGTACCCTGGTGTTGGCTGGGTGGTCTGGCGCTCGCCCGAGTACCTGCCTAAGGAGCTGATCTTCAACATCAACTACCTTGGTGCGGAGCAGGCCAGTTTCACGCTCAACTTCTCCAAGGGAGCGTCCCAGGTGATCGGACAGTACTACCAGATGATCCGACTGGGTAAGCGGGGCTACCGGTCGATCATGGTGAACATCACCAAGATTGCCGACTACCTGGCCAGCGAGTTAGAGAAGATGGGCTTTATCATCATGAGCCAGCGCGGCGGCAAGGGCCTGCCGCTGGTGGCTTTCCGTCTGCGGCCTGACCGCGACGAGGTGTTCGACGAGTTTGCGGTGGCGCACCAGTTGCGTGAGCGTGGCTGGATTGTGCCGGCGTACACCATGGCCCCCAACAGCAACTCCTTGAAGCTGATGCGGGTGGTGGTGCGCGAGGATTTCAGCATGAACCGGTGTGACGCGCTGTTGGCGGACATCAAGCTGGCTATGAGCACCTTGAGCGAGATGGACAAGACCATGCTGGAGCGCTACACTAAGTAAGTGGATTGATGAAACTCTTCATAGCTGGCTTCAAACTAACAGGATTTTAGACACGTGCGCCAACATGCCACCCACTCGCACAAGGCCAAGCACACTCACCACCACTACAAGAACGAAACCCACTCGTTGCAGGGCAAGACGGGTAAGACTCACGGTGTGTGCTAGATGCTGCACATCGCATATGTAAATACTGGTTTGATAATTGTTTGAATAATGAGACTGGCATATGAAGATCCTTCAATTCATCCTTTGGGGCTGACACAGTAGTTAATTTATGAGTGACTATACATACATGGGGCTCTTAGTATCGGCCACTAAATCTGGGGGCGAGGCAGTGTTGACTGACAAGCGTAAGCAGCAGCAGCAGCAGAGCCGAGGCTGGGTATTTAATTCGGGGTTTCCTGGTTTTCTGGAAGTCACCGAACACACATCCTTGACTTGGCTTGCCAATTGAGAGTCTTTCTTTGCGCCTCATCTCGTGTCACAGGCGCCAATGAGGAATAATTAGTTGGTTGTACCGTGATTGATTGCTGCTGTTGCTGTTGCTGTTGCTTGCCAGTTGATGGGCTTCTGTTGCCGCTTTCCCCCTCTTTGCTTCTCACTCTTCTCTTTCATACACCAACTACCAAACCAACCAACTGACTGAGCATCTTCTTCCTCTTCATTCATCCTCCTGTCTTTTGTCTCTCCTCTATCTCTCTCCCCTTTCCATCTCCATGCCCCTCTTTCGCCGCAAAGCCAAATTGCCTGCCGCTGTCGCGTCTGCATTCCGATCGGTTGAGCATCTTCCCCCTCGCGTCGAGCACCAGCACCAGCACCAGCACCAGCAGCACCCCGACGATCGGCCCCGTCGCTTGTCCTCGTCTTCCTCTGCCTCTGCTTCCTCCTCCACCGCCCGCGATCCTTTGCCTCAGCCTCAGCCTCAGCCTCACCATTCCCACGCCTACTCACACCCTCATTTTCAGTCTCACCCCCACTCGTCTTCTCCTCTAACGAACTCATCTTCCCCGAAACCCCCTCCCTATTCTGCTGCTGCTGCTGCTGCTGCTGCTGCTCCTCTCCGACGCAGCAAGAGTCACCGCAGTCCCCGCGAGAACACTCATCCGGTATGAACAAACACCACTACTCCACCTACCCTTATCGGATCTGCCTCTGTTTTACCTATCTACACAACACATGATTTTGCTGACGGACAGACCTCAGTCGTGGCCCCTCCCCAACCAGTCTAACGAGCAGGAAGTCCAGGAACCACGCAAGTCTCGCCGCAGCCTTTTCTCCTTGCATTCCTCTGCCACCACAAGCGATTCAGTGCAGCGGAATCGGTCGGTCAAGAAGTTCTCCGCCGCCGGTCGCCGGAATAAGCATCAGCGACCGTTGTCTATCGATACCAGCTCCGACTGCCGTCCCGCTACAGCCTGGACACCTGAGCATGATTTAGACGGCGCCTATTCCCCTCCATCGTCGCAAGAATATATACACCCGCACGCCCAGTCGCAGCCGCAACTGCAATCGTGGCCGCAGCCACCATCGCAGTTAGGACAACTTCCGTCGCAACCACGGTTGGAGCAGCCCCCGCAGCCGCTGTCACAAGATCTATCGTCACGACCCCCATCCCAGGAACACCTACCGCCTCAGCTACGGTCGGGAGTTCACGTAACTCGCTGGGATTCACAACCACCACAGCGCCAGCCGCAGCCGCAGCCGCAGGCCCAAACACAGCCTCGTCCACATCCTTCGTTACGTGCAGGCCCTCCTCCCGCCTCGTTCCACATGCCGCAGAACACCGTGCCGACACTGGAAACCCGACCGCCCCGCTCCCCGCACTCTACCATCCAAAGATCCAATACCGATTCGGGCCTGCTCGACCACCTCGCCCGATCGTCTCCTATTGATCCACCCCGTATACACCACGGTGAATTGGCCCCGACGCAACCTCAGCTAGATCCAACGGTGGGAGCTCGCCCGCCGTCCAGACAGTCTGTCGGACCCCCGTCTCCGTTGCGTCAACAATTGGCCCCCGCACAGCCCGATTCCCCCGGCGGTATGACGGATCGTCCTTCAGGTGTGCTGCAGGTCAGCAGCAACAGCAACCAACCCGCCTCTGGCACCAGCCACACCTTGCACGCATCGAACAACCAGTCAGATACTGGATATCGGACTAACGCCGCCCAACCCAGTGCCGACGCAGGACGCAGCACCCCAAGTGTGCGGGAGACCCGCGACGCGCGTCGAGAAGCTCGCGATGAGTCAAGCGACATCGACATGCGGGCTTTGGTGCAGAAACATGACGAACTGCGTACGCTTGTTATCATCATCCTTTCCACCGTTCCTTGATCTAACATTCCGTTTCAACAGAGGCCAAATACTCCAAAGTCAAACGGTACTACTTCGAAAAGGAAGCCCAAGTGCAGCACCTCCAGAACACGGTAGCGCACCAACGCATGGCGGTCTCGCGCACCGTGCTGGACGACAACGAGTACGCCAGCCGCTTCTCCCGCCTAGACGGGGCGATCAAGGACCTCGCGTTCTCCATCCGCAAGGACTGGGCGCGCCTGCCCCCGTGGCTGACCGGCTACGTCAGCGACGACGCGCACACCACCGGCACGAAAGAGATGACGGCCATCGGCCGCGCCGTGATGAGTCGGTGGCTCGTCGAGGAGGTCTTCGAGCGCTACTTCCACCCGGGCCTCGAGCCGGCCCTCTCGCGGGCCCTCAAGGACATCGAGATGAACCTCCGCCGCCAGCAGGTCCAGGTGACCGCGACGACGGACGAGGATCGCGAGAACGCCGTCGCGCGCATCAGCAACTGGCGTCGCACCACCCTCGACGGCCTCCCCGAGCTACAGGCCGGCGGCACCCAGGCCGCCGACTTCCGGGCGCAGCTTATCGACCGCCTCGTCGGGAGTTTAGTCGCGACCCTCACGGCGTACATGCGCATCGAGACGGCTCCGGGCGGCGCGACATCTGCCGTGCCCCCGCCCCCGCCCCCGGGCTTGGAGACCGGCGCCCGCATGATCGTCGAGAACGCGATTGGCATCGCCGAGAAGATCCCCCTGGAGTCCCGGGACATCGTCGTCGAATATATCCTCCCTGGCGCTGTCCTCAACGAAAGCACCATGCGGGTGGAATCGGGCATTCCACCTCTACCACAGCAGCAGCAGCGATCAACAGGCACCTCGTTGGAAATCGATCGTGCCGCAGCGGCAGCAGCATCGGAGGGAACAGTGACCATCCCCGATGATATCGACATGGACAACGCTGGCGTCCTAGGCGCAGCAGGGATCGCTCCAGCTAATACTAATACTGGTGCTGGTGTACTAGCTCCCCCGATCGGCCCGACCGACCCATCTGCTCCCAGAGGCGGCAGTGGTACTGGCAGTGGCGCAGGCGGCGAGCGAGAATCCCGCAAACGGTCGATGTTCAGCTCGCTGATGGGTCGACGGACGGGTCCTGCTGCTGCCACCGCTGGTGCTGGTAATGCTGGAGCCGGAGCGGGTACAGCGGGCCCAGTCGCCGGAACAGCAGCTCCGGGTGTTGCGCTCCCGACGGGTCCTGGTTCCGTCTCCAACGTGACCATCCCTGGCACGATTGCTTCTGCTTCTGCTCCTTCCGCCGGCAGCGCAGCGACCGAGGACCGCGAGCGACTGGCGCGGATCCGGTTCTCCTCGTTCGTGCTGGCGGAGGTGCGTGGGCGGGGGCCGCAGAATGTGCTGGTCAAGGCGCCTGTATATATTGAATGAAGTAGAACCTGCGGGTCTCCTGCCTCGACTACACCTACACCTGCCCCCAACGCATGTCAGGGGAAGGGGGTTGCGGGGCTGGAGAGTGTCAGTCGGTTAGAGTAAGACGTCTACGGTATGTTATCGTGTAGAATGTACAGGTGTGAATGTGAATGTCAATGTCAATGTCAACGTCATACCAATGAGCCTTAGATGAACGCCATTGAAACAAAAGTAATTATTAGATAAAGTGTCTATAATTTCCTGACTTCTAAAGTTCGATATTTATGTAAAAGTTCGAGGCAAGCTTTGATGCCGAAAGGGCGATGATGCTCAGCATTCATTGAAGGATTCGTCGTGTTGTGTCCTGCACAATCGTTGAGTGACCGGTCATATCGAATGACCTTACCCCCTACCTCCTTCTTTCTACTGAGCCCCCCCTTTTCCTTATTCACAATTCCCCGGGATGGGCGAGAGACTCCTTCCAGATGGCATACGCCACCATCTCCAGCAGATACCGCTCGCGGTAGGCGAAGCACCGGGTCACGTTCCCGACGAGAAACGCCGTCATCTTGCGGACGAGGAGAGTCGGGTCCTTGCAGCGCGTGAGCAGGTCCTCCGGGTGGTGGAGCGTTACCTCTGCTGCTGCTGGTGCTGCTGCTGGAGCCGCTCTCTCCGCTCCTGTAGAGGTGGGCACGGGAGATATAGCATCTGTGCTTGCATCTCTCCCCAAGCCGAGGATGGCGTCTAGTTCTTCCTCTGTAGTCCTGGAAGTGGGTGATGTGTGTCGGCGGAAACGGAAACGGAGGATATCCCACATCCTTTTGAGCAGGGATGGGCTCTGGCTCTGGCTCTGGCTCTGGCTCTGGCTTTCGATGAGCCAGACGCAGAAACTCTCCCAGAGGTTGTGGTGGGTGATGAAGGCGAGGAGGGTGGTGGGCGTGAGGGTGGTGATGGGGAGTTGGAGGGTTCGGAGGATCTTGGTTTCGGTTTCGGTTTCTCGGTGGCTGCTGGCGTCATGGTCATTGTTTGTGTGTAGAAGGGCACGGTGCATTTCGCTGACGTAGGCGAGCTCGGTGAGGAGGGTAGAGAGGGCGTCTTCGTTGGGGGGGTCCCGGTCGATGTCTTCCTTGTGGTGGGCGAGGGCAGCGGGTGAGGGGGGAGGTGGAGGTGAGGGGTGATCGTGATCTGGATCTGTGGCAGAGTCGTCTTCTGGGATGGTGGTGTGGACGACGGGGTTTTCAGCAGCAGCAGCAGCAGCAGTGGTGGCCGTGGCAGCGGTGCACAGTTCCACGTCGAGTCCGGTGGAGGAGAACGTCCCCAGCGATCGGTCGTAGCCCAGTCTCGCGCGCCAGAACACGTTCAGGAGGATCAGGCTCACGATGCACGGCACCAGGACCACGTACCCGTACCACATGGTCGCGGTGACCATGCTCGCGGCCCCGGCCACTACGCCGTTGACCCCGTTGACGACGGCATGGAACTGCAGGGCCCGCATGCGCGCCCGGAGTTTGGTCTTCAGCGAGGCCGGAAGCTCGTGGTTTTGGTCACGGGGGATTTTCCCCTCCTCCTCCTGCTCCGCCACCGCGCACGCCCTCCAGCATCGCTGGAACCGCCACACCAGATATGCGGACCAAATCGCATTGACGAGCCCGAAGCCCGCCGCCAGTCCATTGCCCACGTACCCGGACAGCAGATTACTGGCCCGGTAGATGGTCGGATCAGCGCCCCAGATCGCGAGCAGGGTGCCGATGCCCACGAGCAGGGCACCAACGCCCATGAGCAGATCCATGAGGATGCGGTCGATGACTTCGGTGAGCACCTCGCGGGTATTGACGCCGTGCTTGTACTCGTTGAGCCTGTCGATGGTGGTTCTCTCGCTGGATGGATGGGGCATCGGTCTGTGGGAGCCGTCACCGGTGTGGTCGGCCGACGATGCACTGGTGGAGATGCTGTCGGAGAGGAAAGTTCTCTCTTGACGCAGCAACCGCACGTTGGCGGCGCTGAGGTACATGTCTCGGGCGGCGACCAGGGTCATGCACAGCGCGCAGGGCCCGCCAATCGCCATCAGGATCTTGGCGTGCAGGGGCACCGGGATCTCGTTCCACACATTGGCCGCAAAGTCGGCCGCATTGGCTAGTTCTAGGTATCCGACGCCGGCGAGGAGAGAATTGCGGAACAGAGGTTGGTGCAGGATGCGGTATTTGTGTTTGTTGGCAGGAGGCAGGCGGGTGCGGGTGCGGGTACGGGTGAAGGTCACCGCGTTGGGGGTGTAGGAGAACGAGCGGGTGCTGGAGCTGGTGAAGGTGGAGGAAAAGGTGAGGTCGGTGGATTCACGGAGGAGTTTGGGGGTAGGAAGGCCAGGGTCGGGGAGGGCCATCGTGTGTGTGCCACATAGATGGAGAAATGACACGAGACGGGCACACACGGGTTGAAAGAACGAGGAGAGGGAGAGGAGAGGGAGAAAGGAAAGAGGAAAGAGAGGAAGGGGAAGAGGGAGAAGAGAAGTAGGAACTGGAAGAGCAGGAAACGTGGAGAGAACAGGGCAGAACGACCGGATTGGGGGGTTTACAGTTGAGGAGTGGGGCCCTCGCCCTGTAGGGCTGAGCCGATGATCCGTGCCTATTTTCGGGTTTTCTCTCCTTTTCCTTGCAGCACCAAGTCGACTAGTACACAGTAGTCCTTCTAACTATCTCTATCTTACATTTATGCACATCCACTCACTAACTAACCAACCTACTACCGAAGTTGCCAGCTCATTCCCGCACAGGCCGCACCATCGACGCCTGGACATGTCCCTCCACAACCTCGTACTCCTTCACCACTTGGAAGCCATACTTCTCATACAACCGTCGGCCCTGGGGGGTCGAGGCCAAAAAGGTATCCACCCCAGCTTCATCCGCCCGGTGTAGCCCCCATCGCAAGAGCTGCGACCCCAGTCCTCGTCCATTGTAGTTGGGGTGGGTTGCGAGCATGTCGAGATCTATTTCAATTATGGACTGTGAGTTCGTGCGTGCTCACTGAGTGGGCCAGCCAGCCACGAGGTAGCCGAGGAGAAAACTCACAGTAATACTTCTTGGCCCCCATGACCTCCCACTTCTCCTGGTCCATTTTCCCGAAGAATTCCTCACACAGTTTCTGATCAGAGCTTGGGGGCCATTTTTGCGCGAGACTCTGCTCGTCCAGCTGTGGAGGCTCGGGTTGCTGTTGCTCGCCGGAGTACAGCTTCCATTTGGCAAAAGCTGCAATGACCGGATCCTTCTGGCTCTCGTCCACGATTTTGAGGATTGTGCTGCCGGATGTGGGCTTGCCGGTCTCCTCCAGGTCGCTGGTGAATTTCTCGAACCACCAGGTGCGCACATCGTCGGTCAGGGGGAACAAGCGACGGTTGAAGGCATCGGAGAAGGAATGGAGAAATACGTCGGTGAGCTGGGAAGCATCCGAAGAGGCGGCATGGTGGAGATTTAAGCTGGCATTGCTAGGTTTGGTGGTGGTGGTGGTGCTGCTGCTGCTGCTACTGTTGGCGCGGGTAAGGATGAGGGCCGGTCGGAGAAGGCGGTAGGGCTGGCGAATGGAGGAGCTGATCGCGGCGGAAAGAGGCGCGGGCGTAATCATCGTTGTTGCTGCAGGATCTGACCGATAAAGCTTGTCGGGAAATTGCTGTTGCGACTGATATTCATCCAGGTAACTGATCCCTGCAAATTTTATTCCATGATAGAGAATTCCTGTTAGTCATTGACATCATTGAGCTCGGATTGCTTCCGATGTTCCGAAGTTGAGATGAAGTAATGAAGAGAGGAAAAGGAGGAAACGAGAAGCAAAAAGACCAAGCCATCCTCCCCGACAGTCAAGAAAGCTTGGCTGTTGACTCAGCCATCGACACAAAACCGACACAACACAACCAACCAACATAACTCAACGCCCACCACCACAGTACTAATCAATGTCAAGCTTCTTGTGTGACTGCACCCGTCCCTGGCTACTGACTGAGCTAGACCAGGCTGCAATTTTCTTCTTCCTGCGCGGATTCTCGGAAGAAATGCGTCACGGTCCCCGCGGCCCCCGACGCTGCTGAAGTGACGGCCAACTTCCGTGACCCGTGTATGCACTGTAGGGCTGACGAGAGCCAAAGACCCTTTCGTCTGCTTTTCTGCAAGGCCCCCACGCATACTTTTCACTGTCCAACAAGGATCATACCCCGTAGGCAGCCGTGTTTTGGTCTCTCCGATCCTGACACGCACTACCCAATCGGGGTACGAATACGGTATAACCCCATCGGGCGAAGCCTCAGTCAATGGATTCGTTGTACATACAGCTGTGGACTGCAGACGAGGGATTGTCTTCACGCCACCCCCAAATAGATCAGACGAGGCCAGGACGGTGGACAGGAATAGCATGTAGAATGACATCGTCCGTCCGACCCCTCAGTCAACAACGTTTCCAGGGCCAGCCAATTGTTCCGTCATCATTATCCATGGATGGCTGCAGCGGCGGCCATCTCAGGCGCCAGACCCTAAGCTCGAGTCCCGACCCACTGGCCAGGGTTCACGGCCCTCGTTATTGATTCCGATGTGTAGGGTGGTCTGTTTTTGGCTAAATTGCCGCCCAAAGCCGATGCACATAAACCAGGTTAGGAATGAGGCAGTACTTGGGGGGGCTGAGAGGGCTTTGCTGGAGCCTGGCTCCATGCTCATTCTCTGTTCCTTTTCTGCTCCTTTTCTTCCTCGTCTCGCCCCATGGTTAGACCATTTCGATCACATTCAGGACAGTTGACTTTCTGTACAGATCGGTGCTGAACGACAGTGTCGCCATGTCTTCACCCACCTCGACCGAATCCCCCAAGCAGAGCAAAAGAGCGAAGAAGCAACAGAAGAAGCAGCATGGGACAGATACGATTCTGCCGAAGAAACCAGCCAAGGTTCTGTTGGCAGATACCATCGGACAAGCATTGTACGAGCGTCTCCTCTCGTTTGGTGACCGTTACCACCAGCACCAGCACCAGCATCAGCATCCCCATCCCCCGTTAGGGCAACATCATCACAATGGCTGGCAACCCGTCGACCAGCAACTCCTCTCCACCTCCCCCTACCTCACCGTCCCTCAAATCCCCCGCTCAAGCGCGAGCAGCAGCAACATCTCGCGCAAATCCTCCTCCATGACGCTATCCTCCTACGATGACCGCAGCGTGGCCTCCAGCCGCACCAGCCACGACTCCAGCCCCAGCCCAGGCACCAGCAAACCCTCCTCATCTTACTGTAATGAACAACCCCAGCCCCACCGCATCAACACTCTCAACCCACCATGCAACATGGCAACAATCGAGCATCTGATCTCGCGGCACGGCCAAGTCTCGCACATGGGCGTGCTGGACCCAAGCTACAGCCTGTTCGTCAACACCACGCGCACAGCCCTGCTCTGTTTCAAGGTATGCAACAAAGTCGCCATAGTCTCAGGGGACCCGATGTGCGCGGCCGAGGAGTATGGCTCCGTGCTCTCGGAGTTCCAAACCTGGCGCCAACGTCAGCGTCTAGGCATCGCCTTCTTAGGGACAAGCGAGCGCATGGTCGACTACGCCCAGCACCAGCACCAGCACCCGCACCCGCAGAACGAGAACGAGACCAAGAAGAGCTGGACGATCCTGGAATTCGGCCGCGAACGCGTCCTCAACCCGCTCACGAACCCAGTCCTCCACGAACAAGAAGGCAAACGCATCGTCCTTCAGAACAAACAACTCCTCCACCCCGAGAAAGGGGGCATAACCCTCAACCTCTACATCGCCCCTACCCCCTCGTCAGCAACAACAACAACAACAGAAGACCAAACCCTCCAATCCCAACTCACAGAGATCTACAGAACCTGGCGCCACCACCGCAACAACTCCACGGGCACACAAACCCAAGCCTTCATCACCACCCCAACCCCCTTCACCACCCCCGAATCCCAACCCCACCCCCAGATCATCTACATCTACACCACCACCACGGCCCCCGGCACAGGCACCCCCAACGCCCTCGCCGCCCTCCGCTACCTCGGCACCCACCACGGCTACCACCTGGACCCCTGCATCGCCGCCCCGGGCAGCCCCAGGGGCCTCTCGGATCTGCTCGTTTTCGCGGCGATGGCCCTCCTCCGCCGGCTGGCGTGCAACTACCTCAGTCTCGGGGTCGAGCCGTACGCGCAGCTCGGCCGGGTCGAGGGGTTCGCGTCCCCGCTGGTGGAAAAGTTGACGCGGCGCGCGTATCGGTACGCGTTTGCCCGGCTGCCGATCCAGGGGAAGAGGGCGTATTTCGATAAGTTCCGGCCGGATCCGACGCTGGAGAGGGGGTTGTTTTTGGTGTTTGTCGGGGAGAGTTCTGGGCATTGGTTGGGGGGGAGGGTGAGAGGGGGGGAAGGGAAGGGGCATGGGAAAGGGAAAGGGAAGGGGGAAGGTGTAGGGGGCGCGCCCGCGGTGAGGCAGGTGGTTGGGGTGGCGCATTTGGCGAATATCCGAATTAGGAGGGTGGTTTGGGGGTGACGTTTATATGGTGGTGGTGAGGGTGGTGTGTGGTTGTTAGCCGGAGGGTGCAGGGTAGTGTATGGGTTTATATAGCTATCGTCATTCTTGTTACCTGTTGCACAATGATGCGTTGGGATTATCTTCTGTATATAAATTCGAGTTCTAATGTGTCTGTTGGTATCCATAGTATGGTTTTACATAGCAATCTCAACTACATATCACGCTTAATTATTTCACCATGCATAGTATAGTAGGTAGTGAGTGCTGTGGGCCTACGGAGTATCATCTCATGCTCGGATCGATCGCGTTACTAGGTACAGTGATTTTTGGGTCATTTACGCCTACCTCGCCGCTTATTCCAGATCAGACAATATGGCCGAGCGGTCTAAGGCGATAGACTAGAAATCTATTCTCTTCGGAGGCGTCGGTTCAAATCCGACTGTTGTCGTTTTTTGCTTACCACTTCTCTCTCTCTCCCAGTGAAGGCATTCTTTTTGTCAGGATGAGGATTATCCATTCACTATTGTGGGGGGGGGGGGGGGGTTTCTCCCCATGCTCCCGTGTCTTCGTAAATGCCCTGGGAGGGCGCGGTAATAGCGCGGTATAAAGCTGGCATGCGTAACTCTATGTTTCAACGGTCCGAGTCAATTCGTGCTATATTTGTGTATAGGTTATGTGATCTCTCGAGAATACTACTGACGTGAGTACAAGGACATACTTCTGCCGAAGAAAAGATATCTCATGTTCAGTCTTATTCACAGAAAATAATCCAAGAACCGAACCAACTTTGTACACATGCACTCCGTCCAATGTACACCCGTCGGGCCAGCCAGCCAGCTACCTGACCATCCAAAGCATCACATCACAAACACTCAAAAAATCACCAACACTAACGACTAGACAATAGGCTAACAAACTCATCAAATGCTATGGCAGATGTAATCATGTAAAGGTCGGGTATAGCGCCTCGCTCAACGCAGAGAAATCAGAAGCAGGCACTTTTGGACACATCCAGAGAATAGAAAAGCTTATGACGGGTCAGCTACACCCTTCCGATAGCGTTCGCCGCCTGCTGCAGCACCCGCGGCCACCGCGAAATCAACTCCACATCGTCCAACGCCCCCTTGCCCTGGTTGCGCACGTACTGCGTGCTGGGGTCTATGCGGGGCTCGTAGTCCCAGATCGATGGCACGCCCTTGATCAAGGCGGAGTAGACCAGTCGGCGGCGGCGCTGGGAGCGGAGAACGTCCTCGCGGATCTGCTCCAGGTTCCAGCGAGTGTGCACTTCCTCGACAAAGTGTGCTAGGAGTGTGGCCGGGTCGCTGGTTTGAGGCAACACCGAGGAGTGCTTGGAGGGGCTTGGGGTGCGTGGTGGGGTCGGGAAGGGGAAGGACGAGGTGCCGTCAGGGCCACGCGAGACGCGCGGGAAGTCATTTGGGGTGGGCAAGCCTGTCCCCTTGCCGTTGACAGCGACGAGCTTGGATAGATCAGGCAGGCCTGCGACCAGGTTGACGCGCTCCTCCGGGTCGGCAACCACGTCGAACAGCATCGGGGGGTCGATCAGTGAGTAGACGAACTTCCACTGTCCGCGGCGAATCATGACGGTCGGCGACTGAGTGCCCTCGGCCATGTACTCGCCCAGCACGGTATCGGTCTTGACGCCGTCCCCGCCCGTCAAATATGGCAGCAGCGAGACGCCGTCCAACGGCAGCCCAGGAACCAAGGGCGCGCCCACCAAGTCCGCAAATGTCGGCAGCAGATCCATCGTCGACACGTTCTCCGACACCCGCTTAGCCGCGAAGCGCTTCGGCGCATGCATGATCATAGGCACACGTGCCGACCCCTCGTACCACGTCATCTTGTACCACAAGCCACGCTCGCCCAACATATCGCCGTGATCGCCCGTAAACACCACAATGGTATCGTCGCGCAAACCGCAGTTGTCGAGCACCTTCAAGAGCTTGCCCACATTGGTGTCCACATAGGTGCAGGCGGCATAGTAAGCGCGGCGCGCGGCCTTGATGCGCTCCTCCGGCATTACCTTGCCCCACAGGTCGATGCACTTGAGCACCCGCTGGGAGTGTGGGTCCTGCTGACCCTGGGGAATCGCGCCGTGCTTGGGCAAGGGGATGTCGACATCCTCATACAGATCCCAGTATTCCTTGGTCATGGCATAGGGGTCATGCGGGTGGGTCATCGACACGGTCAAACAGAAAGGCTGGTCGCCGCGCTGGCGCACATGATCGTAGAGGTACTGGGTCGACTTGTACATCACCTCCTCGTCGAAGTCGAGCTGGTTTGTGCGAACGACGGGGCCAGCCTCCATGACGGAGGACATGTTGTGGTACCAATCGGGACGGATATCCTATTTGGGTCAATATTTCCTCGCTCTCGGGCCACATTTCCAGGAGACTTACGGGTTCGTCCCAGTTGACGGACCAGCCATAATCGCCAGGGTAGATGTCGCTAGTCAAGCGCTGTTCGTATCCGTGCAGCTGATCGGGGCCACAGAAGTGCATCTTACCCGCCAATGCAGTGTGATAACCCTCGCGGCGGAGGTAGTGGGCGTAGGTTGGGACATCGGCGGGCAGGTCGGAGGCGTTGTCGTACGCACCGATTTTAGAGGGGAGTTGGCCGGTCACCATGACGAAACGGGAGGGGGCGCACAGCGGCGCATTGCAGTAGGCGGAATCAAACACCACTCCTTCTTCGGCCAGCTTGTTCAGATGGGGGGTTTTGATAGGGGAGTCCTTATCATGGAAGGCCAGAAGCGGGGCGGCCATCTGGTCGGCCATGATGTACAGGATGTTGGGCCTTTTGGCAGCCATGACGATAAGCGACTCTCTCTGTGGACGGGGGATTGTAGACTTGTCTAGACTAGACTAGCCTGTAGATAGCTGCTGTAGAAGGGACAGCCGTTCTCAACAAGTCTGTCTTGAGTGATAGGGACCAGAAAAGTGACGAGGCAAGGAGGGGTGGGAGGGGAGGAAGTTTAAAAAAGGAGGAAGAGACCGGATTATAAGTAAGTTAACAGTGACCGGACAGTGACTGACTTCAAGTGGAGACTGACCACTGCAGCAATGAACGAGTCCCAATGCCTGTTTCAGGAGGTGAAGGGAGAATGCCAGGTGGGAGTCGAACAGGAGGAAAAAAAAAGCAGGAGAAAAAGAAAGGTTAAAAAAAAGAAGGCGGCAGAATCAGGCTTAGTAGCCGATCTCTCTTCTCCTTCTGGCTCGTCACTCGGCCTCGCTCGTCAATTCCCCATGTCACCATAACAATGGAACCATCGGCGGGGACGATGGTGTGATTGCGGGAGGATCCATGGATAGCCGCCAAGGGGGCAGCAGCACACCAGACAGAGTACTCCGTATTATTGCTGATCATCAGGCGGGTGCAGTGAATAGGAAACTCAATGGTGATGAGGTGGTGAAGCAGGAGAATCTTGCAGATGAAGCGGATCGACTCCTGCATGCGGGCTGGTCTATCATTGACTAAGGTACCAACCGGGATCAACGGTCACGGTTGTGATGGCCAGTTCCCCGATAAACGCCATTTCTTAATGATTTGCCACGCGAGGCCCTCAATCTCCGGCTGGTGGCGGTGCTCACGTGCTGGCCAGATTTGCATCTCTCTGACCTGACTCAATCTTTGTTCCATTACTCATTACCACACAAACACTTGTAGAAGAGCCAATTGATTGACTGATTTTGTCTTTGATAAGGAAATTGACATTACCCCGGGGGGATCGATTGTTGCTCACCGCCCATCGCTTAGTGGGATTTTCTACAATTTAGGATTCGCCGGACTCGCACCGGGCCCGATCTTGGCCCACTTGGCGGTTTTTTTATTGATGATACATTGGTGTGTGATTCCATCCCCGGATCCGCTGTGGTCACGAGGTGCCGACTAAGCCGGGGTTGTCGGCAATCACGGTGGTTGTCTGTGTTGTCTCAACCATTGTCTCACCCAGGATTGATTGTTGAGGGTGACGGTGATCTGTCAGATAGCATCAAAAGGGGGTTTACGCGTCTACTTCAAATGACACAGAGGATGTTCTAGATCAGCCCCAGATGCCCATATTGAGTAGCAGGATCCGGTTGCCAGCTGTCGGAGATAACCTGAGACAAGTACGTAGTGCTAATCAATCGCCTCCTATCCGTACTGCCCAGGAACTGGCAGATTGGGCTTATCAGAAACGCAGGACACGACGCAGCAATCGCCTTCCAATCTTGCTTCCAGTGACACAGTAGTCGTTGTCACACAGGGGCTCTTTGCATTTCTAATCGCGATATCACGCGCCACTGCTCAACCCCAATAATCTGAGCTGTCGGGCGGAATTCCAACAATAGATCAATTATCAAGACTTTACTCTGATTTCAAAGCAGAACCCCCAACTTCCCCCTAATTACTTACTACCACGTATATGTACGTCTCAATTGACATTCTCGCAGCCAGCAACCAGACCTCCGCCAACCCACGGATTCACCCCTCGATCAAACCAAGATAGAGCGATCGAAACCCAAACCCACGCACGCAGACTGACGTACGTATGGCATCAGAGCTATCAGCTATCCACCCCCAGCTTCAAGATTTACCTTTGACTTTCAGAATAGGTACCTACTGTACTCTCCCCCACAACGAATCACACAGCCAGAATCTGATGTACTGTCGGAGTTAAGCGCATTTGCCAACCCTGCGGCTCGATGGCATCATCCGCAACCTATCAGCGCCCTCTCTTGCCGCGGCATTCGTCGTAAGCCTGCGTGGAGCTGGGTTCGAGCCTACCCCGGACGATCCCCTGAAGATCCTTTTTGTTCTTGGCTTGGGTTCTGGAAGGGGTTTAGAAGCCGCGTCCTACGTACGAGTAGCTTGGAGCCGCAGCATGGCTTGTTCTGGTGTGGGCGTGGCGTGGCGTGTCTGGTCGTCTTGTCTGACAGCTCTCGGCGGGGATGACTTCGGCTGAAATGTCCGCGTGTCCGATGTTTCGAGAGTGCAGGGTTCATCGTCGGGATCAGACGAGGTTGGAAACCCGGGTCACCGCAGCTCAGGTGTGTTTCTTCTCTGGTGGTGGGCGCTGGAGCGTGAGTGTGATGGAGGCTCCAACGTCATCGGATGGCAACCTGCGAGCACGCCATCGCCGGGTTAGTCATCAACGGTCGATTGCGGTAGGTGGCATTTTTGGTGGCATTTTTGGGGATGTGAGTTGTTGTTTCAGTCTCGGACATACCTATGCACGAAAGTATTGGGTGGTTTTTGAGTTATTTGAAGATCTGCGCTGTCGCTGGGCGGATTGCTTCCGCATAGCTGGTAGGAGTTAGTATGGAACAAGATATCCGCATCAGATGGCTGAGCCACGACCCAATCGCCTCCAATATAATTATGCTAATCTAGCTTTAAAAGGGTCTACATACACCTGATTCTTATTCATGTTCAAGCTATCCAGAAAACAAGCCTACCCCTCAAAATCGTACCCCAGTATCCTTCCCCTCCTTCCCCTCCTTACACTCTACACATTCCAGAATATCGAAGACCCAACCAACCTGCCAGATCCAATTAGCCCTCAACCATAGTATCATACACCAATTCAGCTCATAATCCATCAACCACACGACAACCATACTGGATCCATAGAAAGAACTCCTCAATCCACGACCCAACCCCTAGCCCAAGAACAAAACACCCGGGCACCTGCACCATCAGTACAACCATAACCCCCACCCCGCATAAACAACAACAACAACTACATCAACAAAAAGGTAACCATCCCCCACAAAGCCAACAAAAGGCAGTCCCCCCCTAAACCCCCATCTTCTCCCCCTCCCGCATCCCCTCCCCTCCAGCTACACACTCCACCACCGTCACCGCCTCACTCAAAACCGACCCCGCATCATCATTCCCCTGATTAGATCCCTTGCCATCCATACCACCAGCACCGACAGCAGCAGCAGCAGCCGCCTTCGTGGCCCGCCGATCCCGGACCCTCTGCACCTGCCGACTGACGAACCGCCACGCCTCGGCCGCGAGCTCGAGATCCGTTTTGGGGCGATGGGGGATGGCGCTGCCTGGTTCTGATGTGGCGGGGGGCCGGGGGAGGGAGGTGGAGGATGTCATTCTTTTTCTCGGTATTTTTCCCGGGGTTTGGGGATGGTTTTGGGGATGGATGGATGGATGGATGGATGGATGGTGGCGGTGAAATATGTTTTAAGGTATAGATCCCTAACTCGAGTAATTTTTGTCAAGGAGAAGTAGACGAATTGTATCGTTTGTTATTCTGGAAGTCGGAGAGCGCTTTCCTTCGGGTCTGGATATATTGGACAAGGTCCCAGCTGGAGATGGGCGTTCTTGAGGGAGCAGTAGTAGTAGATGCCAAGCAGAAAACAGTACCCAGGAATGAGCAATTGATGAGCCCGACCCAAAAGTTCGTGATGTCTTATATAGTCTATCTACATACAGTATACAATGCGAGCAAACAGACCAAACCTAGTAGACTTCAGTCCAAGTCTAAGTCTGAGTCGGAGTTTGAGTGAGTCACGACGCTTAGGAATCAACCGGTGCCTAAGCACCTGGCAATACAAGAAGAGATTATAATCAGACAAATCCCGGAAGCTTGAAGCCGTGGCGGGTTCCGGATTGGGGCAAGGAAGCGGTGGGTGCGCTACTGCACGGCACGGTGGGCTGGATACGTGGAGAGGCTGCCTGGACGCGGGTGACAGGTATTCTGCATCTGCAGTAACATCTAGCGGCGCTCGAGCCTGGAGCTGTTTTAGCCAGTCTTGTTCTTCCCTTGATGTGATTCGTCTGTGGACTTGGGAGTAATTCGTACATACGGGAGGAGTCCATGTGATGATGTCGTGCTTCAGTGGTTGTATGATTCTAAGGAGAGACTTGTTCTCAATATGACCTTTATGGTGCGGCATCGAAGCATGGCCTATTGCTTCTAGAACCACGTCAAAAATACGCCGCTCGCAGACCTGGATTCACAAATTGAAATAAATTCGCTAAAGGCAGAGTATATATATCTAAGTTGACGCGTGAATGGCCATAGGCCAACTGACAGACTGCACTCGCCCCTTCAAGGTTAGAGGCACGAGTACATTCATCATGAAAAAAGTTCAGCGGAGACTGAAAATTGCGAGCCCCGTCCAAACATCCCAGATGTCCGTCTCGAAAGGAAGTAACCGCTTAATCGACTTTGATTGCGCTGTTGCTGGTCAGATCACACCAAAAAAAACACAAAGCAGATCACTCACCTGTAGATGCGTCGGATAAATGCGTACGCCGTCAGGAACCCAACAGTCCCAGTCAACAGACCGTACATGGTACAGGCAAGGAAGCTGTAGCTGAAGAAAAGAAGACTAGACACGAAACCGGTGATGTGAAGGTGGAAGTAATAGTACCAAATGCAATACCCGAACACCCAGAAGGCACTGCTTCCACCGGTAAGGAAGCTCTGCCACCACCAATGGTAGTTCTACTCCCGTTAGCGACAGCCCGTCTCCCCCCCACAAACGAACAACTTACTTCGGCACAGAGCTGACTGTAGGTGGCAATGATCGTCACCTCGCTGATCGTGACCATCAGGATCGTCGACACGGCACTGAGGAATCCAAACACATAGTAGTATCCGCTCTTGTCTTGCCACAAGCTCCGGAACACAAAGAGAAGCTCAATGAACAGCACAGCAAACGGACCCAGTCCAGTCAAAAGAGTACCGCTGATGCTGTGCAGATACCAAGGCTGAGGCGGAATTTGGCGAGCGATGGAGGTGGTTTTGGTAGGATGCTCCCAAGCCGTGGTGCGGACATAGCCATACCAACTGCCAACATAGACCAACGGGACCTGGATCAAGAGCCAAAGAGCAAGAAGACCGACTAGAGTGCCGAATGGAATCGCGGTACTCGAGGCCTGGGCCCAGACGAACAGATTGAGGATGAAAATCAGGCAGAAGACCAAACCAGGGAAGAACAGGGCGGTCTGGAGGTATTAGTAGCAGCACAGTCATTGAGAAGCAGAACACTCACAATCAGCGTATTCTTCCGCCAATGAACACCCCCAAATGTCTTGTAGAGTCTGCCCGAGAAGTAGCCCGAGAACAAACCAGCAAAGACGAACAAGCCCATACCAACACTGACAAATCCGCCACGGAAGCTAGGATTCAGCACACCCAGGCAGCTGAGGAACAAGAGTCCCGAAACCATGAACAACAACTGCATGCCGGAGCCGATAAGGGGCGCCAGAAGTCCACTGAATTGAGGCGTCCGGAATACGTCGCCATGAAGCAGTTTCCATCCGCTGACGTCTTCCAGACCTTCATCGTCAGATCCATCCGCATCCCGCTCGACATCTGTGCTCTGCTCCAGAAGCCCGTCACCTTTCCTCTCCGAAGCTCTGGACTTTACCTTGAGCTTTCCATCCTCCAAAGCTCCATCTCCGCGACCCTTGATGTCGCCCTGCACAGTCCGACTCCAGATGACATAGACTGCCACTCCGAGGACACCGGAGATAGTCAGAGAGTTGAGAATAGCGAGCCAGTGGGTTGCAGAGCCCTCCTCTTGGTTGGTGAAGTAAAGGTCCCACCGGTTCCACCAGTCAACCCCATTCTCCTCCTTGAAGTAGACGGAGTAGGTGTATGGTATCTTGAGGGTGGCGCCGTCATCGATCTCGTCATCGTCCTCGGGGATATATGACGATCCCGGGTACATTTCGCGCAGTTTCGAAGTATTCGGCGGGATGTACAGCTCAAGTCCATCGTGTGCCTCGTGAACCTGCTTCGGGCAACCATTCTGCGTGTGATCTTCCGCGCGGATACTCTTCGGGTGGATCTCGAAGCCGACAATGACCTTGCCGCCTTCCGGAGCCGACCGCCAGCGGATGACAATAGTGAAATGATTGTTGATGTAATACCGCAGCTTGCCGTCGATGTTCGAGTACTCCTGGAAACCGAGCTTGAAGCCGGTAGCATAATACTTGCGACTTCCGTCCACAGTCACAAAGCTGGTTGCGCCAGGCAGGTTATCCGCGATCCACTCGGCCACGTATCCCTCCTTGATGAGTTGACGAGTCCATTTGATATCCTTGCGCCCGATCTCCTGTTCGCAGAGCACCCGACAGTCGACGTTCTGGCCCATCTGCAATTCAAAGTCAGATGTCATGATACGGTCGCCGCGAAGGATTTCTCCCAGGTTGAGAGACACGCTTTGTCCCGAGCCGAACGGGGATCCGCCGTGGGTGCGGCCGCTGGGAGGGCAGACAAAAGGCAAGTCGAAGTATGCATACTGAAGCTGAGTGTTATCGGAAAAAATTTTATTAACGAGGAGAGGGATGTGTTCGTCGTCGTTGTAGCGTTTGACAGAATATCCTAACAAAACACCAATGGGTCAGCGATAGGGTGGATGGTTGTCGCAACACCAGCGATGCCGACCTACCAGGGATGTAGAATGCGTAGGTACACGAAGCGAACAACAGCCACAAGGCCCATTGACGAGGGCGCCAGAACTGTCGAAGCTCCATGATTCGATTAGGAAGAGAAGGGTATCAGCCACTCTACCAGAGATTGAGGCACGACAGCGCAAGCATGCACCAGCAGTTTGCGAACGATTGATAAGTCGTACGTGGCGGATACGAGATCGAGGGGGTGCAAGTAAGTAGATCAGCGTTCTGTCAACTGACCGCCCGATCTTTATCGGCCAGAAGTCAATTCGAGCGATAAAACAATTAAAAAATCGAGATAGAAGGGGAAAAAGATTTAAAAGATAAACATAATCGAGTAAGGAAAGGAAGATAGCCAGGTGTGGATGTATGTAGTCAAACCACGATTTAAGAGAGGGAAGAGGGGGGAACGGGGAACAGCCCGACGGTCGACGAACGGAGATCCAGCGGTTCAGATTGCGACGGGAGATGCGAAACCTGGGGTTGACAATTCAATGCAGCCAAGAAGGGAACGAATGGAATCGGCATCAAATGCCAGAGAGAGAAAAAAATGGTTGCAAAGTGAGACAAGAAACCAGAAGAGTCAGTGTGGTTGGTGCAGTTGCAGTTGGGGGGGGTCTTGGACAGGTTCCAAGGTGCAGGAAAAAGGAATTAAGGTCGGGGAGCGGGAAGAAGAGTTGAAGGTCGATCGATCAACTTCTAGTGAAGCTTGTGTTTCACTTTCAGCTTCGGGTTTAGTCGCTTGCCATTTCCGGAGAAACATTCAACCATCAACTTCTACAACTCCTACAACTCCTACATTGCTCTTGTTCTTGTTACATGCAAACAACCACTTCAGATTAGTGCTGAGTCTGTTGAATTTTCCCTAATCCTCAAATGCATATCCATAGCTGTTCACGCATCATCGATCATACCCCCACAAGCCCAATTCTCCAATCTACCTAGTCAACAAGCTTGATGCACACCTTGCCAATGTGCGACCCAGATGCCATGTACTCGTACGCCTTAACCACCTCTTCCTGAGTGAATCGAAACTCCTTTTCCACCGGCAGACGAAGTCCCTTCTGGGCCACAAACCGCACGACCTCCTCCAGAAGCTGAGTCGAGCCAACCGTGATGCCGCGCACGACCGCCCCCTTCGCCAGCGCCAGGCTCGCAACATCCGGCATCTCCGACTGCTTGGCCTGCGACAGGAAGCCGATAACCGAGATATTTCCTCCCATCTTCACGGCGTTCAAGCTCTCCGCGATGGTACCGGAGCCGCCATTCTCCAGGATGTAGTCCACTCCCTTCCCGTTGGTGAGCCGCAGCACCTCCTGGGACCACTCGGGATGCGTCTTGTAGTTGATGCCGTGGTCGGCGCCGAACTTGGACTTGACCATCTCGAGCTTCTCGTCACTGGACGAGGTAATGATCGTTGTCGCGCCAGCGGCTTTGGCTAGAATCACACCGGTGATGGAGACACCCCCCGTACCTATGTAGTGCAGCCCAGCCCAGCCCAACCGGTTAGTATCACAATCTCATAAACCGACAGTACAAGAAAGTGGATTCAAAACATACCCTGACACAGAACCGTCTGACCCGGCCGGAGCGGCAGATTGCCATAGAGCGCATTCCACACCGTCACCCCGGTACACACCAGGGTCGACCACTCCGAGAGGCTCTGGGGCGCGTCTTTGGGGAGCTTGACCACCGCCGCAGCGGGAACGGTGATGTACTCGCGCAGCACGCCGTCGATCGGCCCCCCCTGCCCGTTCTCCCAGTTCTCCTGCTGTCCGTACAGATTGGTCGGGTCGAAGGTGGCGACGACCCGATCCTCCGGCGCGAACTTCTTGACTCCTTCGCCCACTTGGACGACCGTCCCCGCGGCGTCGGAGCACGGCACCACGCGGTCCTTCACGGGGAACGGGTACTGCGAGGTGGCCACCGCGATGTCGCGGAAGTTTAGCGAGACACTGTGCACGCGGACCAGGACCTCGTGCTTCGAGGGCGATGGGATGGGTTCCTGGAAGGCTTTGAGTTTCCGGACGGAGGTCCGCTCGCCGTCGAGGCGGATGACTGTTTGTGACATTGATGCTTTATTAGGGGTTTTGGGTTTGAGAAGGGGAGTTGGAAGGAACTGGTTGGGTGTGGATGAATGTGATAATTTCGGACTCATAGCGCAGGCATCATGGCGGCTTATATACCTTTGGCAGTGTGGTAAGCTGCTATGAAGCGGTAGCTGGGGATGATTAATTGCATGTTACAGTTGTGAGGGAGAGACTCCGTGCAGTGTATACAATTCATCATTATCCACGGATCGGACTCCTACGGTCTGTTATCCGACCCACTTCTCCGAATCTCCAAACTCAATCTCCAAAAGTGGATCATCCACTGCGAGACATCGCTACGTAGTTTACATTTCGGTATAAGCCGGAACGTAGATCATTTTACTTAGAAGTTCTGGAAAGAAGTACTGGCTACTTGCATCAGCTCATTATCTAGCAAGGGTGTGAGTGATGTTATTCTTATGGAGATTTCTGGCATCTGAACCAGTTCAAGGAAATTGTGTATGAGAGGTACAGTACATTCTGAGCACTAGCACTAGAATCACCCTAACCGGCTATGTCTATACTGATCTAACACATCCCCAATCATCCTAATGAAAGCCCAGGGAGAGTTCCCGTGCATTACATTAGACCAGACCTCCACAACCTGATCTGCAAGAGTATCGAACGCCGTGCGAGAGGCATCGGTTCTACTGCCCTGAATGGATGCCATGCCTTCGGTCACAACATTTCGGATCCAATCGATCAAGAGATTTTCGGGCTCTAGAACAATCCGTTAGCAAAGTGTGATTCAAAGGTACAAGTGCTTTCGAGGAACGTATGCCCTAAAAGAACTGGAGACTTTGCACGTACCAGACAAGGATTCACCATAGCCAGGCGACTGCAGCCCTCGGAGCCATTTGGAGAGGTACACGGCACATTCAAGCCCGCACAGCGCCGTTTCTATGCTCCAGACCAAGGCCTGGTTGTGTTTGACGTACTGAACACCCAGCTTGACTATCATTTCTAGGACATGGGTGGCGTGGTGCGCGGCCAGAAGTTCGTCCCAATGCTGCTTCGCGGGCGAAGACAAGTGCAGGTGATCAGCTACAGCCACTGGATCCCAGGACAAGAGCCCCGTAGAATGGTAGCTGTCATGTTGCAGGCAGTTGCGAATATACGCTAGGCTAAGCAAGGCGCTGGACGTGAAAGGTAGAGGCCCGTTGGGGTCGAGTGGCTGAAGATTCGACTCCGGGGTTCGTTGCCAGAAGGTGGTCCATCTACGTAGTGCCGTTCTAAGTTGTTGTTAGCTATGAGGATTCTTAGCTTTCAGGGGTTTGATATACCGGAAAAGGACCTGGTAGTCTAGCGAGGGCGCCATGCCCAAGCTCGCGGGCAGCATTCGTACCCACATCACCATCTGAACTAGCCCATGGAGTAGGACGTAGTTGGAAACGGGGCTGGGAAGGCATCTGTCAAGGTAATTATCTTGAGATGCTGACAGTAGACCTCTCAGGGCGTCACAGAAAGTACTACGGTCGTTTTGACTGCCTTGCCGCAGGAAGAGCCATGTGGTTGAATCTGGCGCCGTCCATTCAGGACAAGAGCACGGCAGCTGTAGCCCGAACTCGTGGCCCCAGATGATGGGCGGGAGCCCGTACGCGATGCCTTGGATGTTGAGGAAGCAGAATGCGAGTAGCTTGGTCCGTCTTTCGGACTCCTGCTCTGCCCAGGTCTCCCAATTGTTGGTCGACTGCAACCCAACTTCTTCTAAGCCACTCAAGCGCAGGGAGTGAGCAAGCATGCCGCGCAACCTGAGAGACTCGTTCCTGAGCTCGGCGTCTTCGCTCCAAGTTGCAAGTGTACAGAGACATAGCAAGCATCGAACTTCATCTATGTGGTTATCGCCGCTGCTAATTTGCCGATTCGAGCCTGTCAGCCGTGCCAAAGCTTCATGTTCCCTCTGACGCTGGCGTTCCAGAAGTAGCAGCTTTGCAAGGAAAAAGAGCTTGGTGGCTGAGTGAATTTCATACCGACAAGCCGCGCCAATTGCCAGCATAGACAGACATAGTTCGGTTGAGCATGTCTCAAGCTTGAAGGTGGGGATATGGGTGAAAGGCACGTTGAGGTAGAACCCTGTGACATACCCCTCAAGGAAACGGTTGAGCGAATCCCTGGATGGTAGAGACACATCCGGTATATAGCAACTTCCCAGAGCCTGTATTAGCTTGTCTCGTTGAAATTCGGTGATAAATGGATGGGCAAAGTGGGGGACGATCTGCGTTCCTATATACGTTCTGTCAAATGCTACTTCGTCGATGGGAGGATGATTCAAGTTTCAGCCTACCTAAATTGTGCCGCGGTGTTGGGAGAGTGGCAGGAGCTGGTGATCCCTGACTAGTTATCGGAGTGACTGGGATAGTCTTTGAAGCCGGTTGCGTGGTAGCAGTATTGAAAGGCTGACCAGTGCTGTTGAGAAATACTGCATTATCCACAATGTTTTGTTCGATCAGAGGATCTGATCCGACGATCTTAGTACAGTACAGATCCAGTATATGCAAAAGGGTCCGCACCATCTGCTCGAAGTAATTGCTCTAATTCCATGAATTGATTGGTGAGAATCGAAGAGTTGCTGCAATTCCCCGTTAATTGTTGTTTTGAATACCCATCAAAACTGTCAGTATACTCACATAACAGGCCGTCCGGTCAATGCCTGGGAACTAGAGCGCTGCAACGACTCGGGAGTCAACTGGTCGGCATTGCGCCGGACAACACGAGGACCCTGAGACTCAGAATGGGAGCTGCATGCTGTAGCTCTTTCTCCTGGAAGGGAGCTTGCAAGGGTATTCCCCTTGAACTCTCCATGTATAATACGTTCATGACGTTTCAGAAGATCGCGTCTGGAGAATTCGGCTCCACATGGGCAATTGAACGGTTTCTCATGAGTATCTTCAGAACGATGTCAGGGGAACTGTGGCAAAGTAAGCGAACAAGAGCACTAACGTCTTCTGGTATGCCGTTGCAAGTGCTCGAGACGGCGAAAGTCTCGGTAACAATAGTTGCACTGAAACTCTTTCTTGTTGGAAGACGGGGTGGAACTCATGGCAGTCTATACCTGTCACAAAGACACAACCTCAAGGAAAGACAACTCTTAGTTGCCATACAAGATGTCTAGCCTTATGCAGACATAGAATCTATGCGATCATCCGAATTGCATTTGTTAGCAACGTCGTTGAACTCAAACTGGTGGCGACCTGGCATTCCATTACTCAGCATAGCTTTGGGGATACAATTTGGAGAAGTGGGGAAGGGAGGTTGAATTGTTCTCCCGTCGATAATTCTCCAACGTGCATCCTCGGTTGCCAACACTTAGAGCCAGTCTTTGCTGATTACTAACGATAAAGAACGTTTACGGTGAGAGTAGATCTCATTGCAGAGAAATTATCTTCATTCATGAATCGGCTTAAGAAAACAAGCCCTTCCAGATAAGGCCGTGAGCGAGCTAATACACAAAGGCTGTCCAAGCCAATTTCAACCTCACTTCTCCTTGGAAAGAGCATGCAGAAAGGGTAATAAAAATCATAAGAATTGCCAATCCGCCAATATCAAACTGTCATACCACATTCAGACAAGTGCAGGCAACGCACCCTTGAGAAGTAACCGAAGAGAAAGTAATGAACATCGATCCCGTTCGGTCGCGTCGCCTCTGAAGACATGATAAGCCTAAAGGTTGCTCAAGAGGTATTCCACCGCTCCTTGCACACTACCGCCAGACCGACGCAGAGCTGCGATGTTCCTCTCAAACTCATAGAATCCCATATCGTTCAGTTGACGGAGCTGCTCGGCGTAGCGTTCTTCGGGAGGACGGTTGTCTTGGGGAGCAGCAGGAGCTCCAAAGCCTTCCCCAAAAAGTGCAGCAAAGGGATTACTGCCAGCCGCACCGGCATTTCCTGGTGCGCCACCCATAGCTTGCATCATCTGCTGAAGCATTGCCGGATCCCGAAGGAAAGGGTTCTGTTGCGGGTCAAGGGGATTCAGGCCAGCTTGCCCGCCCTGGCCTCCAAAAAGAGCAGGGTTCATGAAAAGACTGAACGGGTTCTGAGGCGCTTGCTGCTGATTCGATCCTGAAGTAGTAGTGTTGCTATTGTCACCCGTAGTGCCCTCAGACGCTCTGTCGGTAGAGCCCGGCTGACTGTTGCCGGCTGCGGTGGGTGGGGCTCCTCCGAAAGCCGGGTTTCCTCCAAAGAGAGCAGCGAAGGGATTGCCGGCACCAAGGCCCGCGGGCATGAATGGATTGAACGGAGCGCTGGGGGTGGGTGTGCTACCGTTATTGTTGTTGTTTTGGGTGTTGCGATTCTCTTCGGGGGTTGTGTTAGTGACACCCGGGGCAGGGAAAGCGCTGCCACCAAGTCCAGCGCCACCCATAGCTCTCTGCATCTGCACCATCTGGCGAATTGAGCTAGGGTCCGTGAGCATACGACGGAACTCGGGACTCTGGAAGATCTGCCGTGCACCGGGGCCCATGTCGCGCAGCATGGGGTTCTGCTGGATCATCATATCGATCATTGCAGGGTTCTGTAAGGCTTCGTTGATTGTAGACTGGAATTGGGGGTTCTCGAGCATGCTCAGCATCGTGTCGGTATCCGGAGGGGGGCCCATCTGGGAGTCGATAGGTTAGCGATCATTCTGTAGATAGCGTTGAGCTGTCTTATACGTACTCCGCCGTCTGGACCAAACATGCCAGCGCCAGGAAGCTGCGCAAAGCCCGCATATCTAGCCCCCGTCAATCCGGCAAGAGGGTTGTTGCCCGTGCCGGCTGCGAGATTCGTAGGCACCCCGGTGGCGGGAGGATTGGCGGCAGCACCAGTGGGCGCCGACGTAGAGGCACTCTGGGTGGAAGCCCCAGAACGTTGGTTACTGGCAGCGCTCTTGACTAGATGGATGGTATGTCCTTCCTTGATATTGTAGGTGGCGAGAGTTTCGTTGTCCTTCAGAACTCGTCCGGAGTAGATTAGGCGCTGACGTTCCGCGGGGGTATCGGCATATTCCGAGGTTGCGAGCTTCTCTTTTAGATCCGACACTGTTGTTGACAACGGAAGGGTGAGTGTGTATTTGGCATCATTGGAGGACTTGACAGTGAAGGTGATAGGTGAATCCTCGGTCGGGGCGGTTTCATCAGCCATGATCTGCTGTTGGCCGGAAAAGAGGTCGCAAGAGGGGCTTGAGAGGAGGATCACGTCACAAAGGTAACGGAGATTACAAGACAGCAGGTGAAATGAATGCGATCGGGGAAGGGAGGCGGTGATAAGTTGCGGATGACTGTTGGTGTAGAGTGACGTGTTAAGGAGGAAAGGTGTCAAATCTCGTTGCAACGAACCGAACGGGGGGTGGATCGCAGCTAGACTCAGACTAATGTTAATTATGATAAGATGGTGTTGTCTTGCTGAGTGAGTGAGTAACCTACTGAGTAACTTAGTCTACCGCCGACCAAGGAGGGATCGATAGCGTAACCGCCGCCGTGGGTGGAAGCGGGCAGAATCCCATCGTCCGCCTTTCCGGTGGGCGGGAGACGCCGGGTGTGCTGCCATACGGTCTAGAACAGTATTTGAGTAACTGGACGGGGTTCTTGATACCAGTACCGGTTATTGTATGTAATGCACGTGACATTACAAACCAAGCAAACAGCACAAGCTCATTTCCTTTCTCGCATCGGAATTTTCACACTTTTAATCCTGGAAGTGTCCTGTCTCGTACAAGACCTCTCCTTCACAATCCATCCTCATCCCCACCCCCCCTCCCCCTCTACTTGCGAGGACACTCGTTCTCGAGAGTCCTCCCTTCTCAATTGCCTTCTCGGCAGCAATGGGACTGCTTTCACTGTAGTGCTTCCCTGCCTGCAATTGTGACGTGACGTAAACAACACACCCCTCCCCTCTTTCATTCCTTCCGGTGCAAGCTCTGTGAGAGCTCAGTCTGCCCATCATGGCTACCACCTCGCACATGTTCATGTACTCCTTGACGATCCAGCCTCCTACTGCTGTGACTCAAGCTATTTTGGGTCAATTCGCCGGAACCAAGGAGCAGCAAATCGTCACAGCGTCCGGCTCCAAGCTGACGATTCACCGTCCCGATCCTACACAGGGCAAGGTCACTCCGCTCTTTTCACAGGATGTCTTCGGCATCATTCGCTCTCTGGCAGCTTTCAGGCTAGCTGGTAGCAATAAAGGTATGCTTGATTATTCTCTGCCCCTGCCTGGTCAAAGATCATCATAGTGATTTTCCAAGCTTTCCGGGCAGCATGATCCATCTCTGCCGAACCGTCCTACTCGGTGATGGGACGTGCCCCGGTCGGCGAACCTTGATGCTGGGTGCTAGTCGTGAAAACGGTGCTGAGACCTGCCTATAGATTATATTATCATTGGCTCGGATTCTGGACGCATTACCATCATCGAGTATGTCGCGGCGCAGAATAGATTCCATAGGATTCACCTCGAGACCTTTGGCAAGTCTGGCGTTCGTCGAGTGGTTCCGGGCCAGTATCTGGCGGTCGACCCTAAGGGTCGAGCCTGCATGATTGCGTCGGTGGAAAAGAACAAGCTCGTCTATGTTCTGAATCGGAACTCGCAGGCCGAGCTGACGATCTCTTCACCGCTTGAGGCTCACAAGCCGCAGACATTGGTCTTTGCCATGTCCGCTCTGGATGTAGGATATGAAAACCCCATCTTTGCGGCACTGGAGGTGGATTATTCCGAGTCGGATCAGGATCCGACTGGACGTGCTTTCGAAGAGATCGAGAAGCACTTGGTGTACTATGAGCTGGACCTCGGTCTCAATCACGTTGTCCGCAAGTGGTCTGATCCCGTTGATCGCACGGCATCCTTACTTTTTCAAGTCCCCGGCGGTGCAGATGGCCCCAGCGGTGTTCTGGTCTGTGGGGAAGATAGCGTCACATACCGTCACTCGAACCAAGATGCCTTCCGCGTGCCTATCCCGCGGCGCAAGGGTGCCACTGAAAACCCCGAGCGCAAACGGCATATCACCGCCGGTGTCATGCATAAGATGAGAGGAGCATTCTTCTTCCTTTTGCAGTCCGATGATGGCGACCTTTTCAAGCTCAACATTGACATGGTTGAGGACGATAATGGTCAGCTCACAGGCGAAGTGAGACGGCTCAAGATCAAGTACTTTGACACCGTTCCTGTTGCTTCCAACCTGTTGATTCTCAAGAGCGGTTTCTTGTATGTGGCAAGCGAAGCTGGTAATCATCACTTCTACCAGTTTGAGAAGCTGGGAGATGATGATGAGGAGATTGAATTCTCCAGCGAGAACTTCAATCCGGATCCTACAGTGGCCTGTGATCCTGTCTACTTCCAGCCAAGAGCTGCAGAGAACCTCAATCTCGTGGAGACAATCAACTCGCTGAATCCGCTGATCGACAGCAAAGTTGCGAATTTGACGGAAGACGACGCTCCTCAGATCTATACGATATCTGGCACAGGCGCTCGCAGCACCTTTAGAACGCTGAAACACGGTCTAGAGGTGTCTGAGATCGTTGAGTCTGAGCTTCCCAGCGTCCCGTCTGCGGTGTGGACCACGAAGCTGACTCGCGCGGATGAGTTCGATGCCTACATTATTCTTTCATTCGCCAACGGCACACTTGTGCTCAGTATCGGCGAGACGGTTGAAGAAGTGACCGACACCGGTTTTCTCTCCACTGCCCCAACGCTTGCTGTTCAACAACTCGGCGAGGACTCGTTGATTCAGATCCACCCTCGTGGTATCCGACACATCTTGGCCGACCGACGGGTTAACGAGTGGCCTGCTCCCCAGCACCGGTCAATTGTGGCAGCGACTACAAATGAACGCCAAGTTGCTGTTGCTTTGAGCTCTGGAGAAATCGTGTACTTTGAGATGGATGCGGACGGTTCCCTTGCTGAGTACGATGAACGCCGTCAGATGACCGGTACTGTCACCTGCCTGAGTCTAGGTGAGGTTCCTGAGGGTCGTGTTCGTAGCTCGTTCCTCGCGGTCGGGTGTGATGACTCGACTGTGCGTATTCTTAGCTTGGACCCAGATACTACGCTGGAAAGCAAATCTGTTCAGGCTCTTACTGCGGCCCCGTCGGCTCTGAACATCATGTCGATGGCGGACTCTAGCTCTGGAGGCACGACGCTGTATCTGCACATCGGACTACACTCGGGTGTTTACCTCCGAACATTGCTTGATGAGGTTACTGGCGAACTATCAGATACTCGTACACGATTCTTGGGATCCAAGGCCGTCAAGCTGTTCCAGGTTTCTGTCAAGGGACAGACTGCAGTTCTCGCGCTCAGTTCTCGTCCTTGGCTAGGCTACTCGGATGTTCAAACAAAGGGCTTCATGCTTACACCACTTGACTATGTTGGGCTCGAATGGGGCTGGAACTTCTCGAGTGAACAGTGCGTGGAAGGCATGGTTGGTATTCAAGGACAGAATCTACGGTATGTTTGACCCTTCTCTTCATTCTTTCCCAACTTCTCCACCGATCATATGATGAACACAAGGGATCCGAATATCTATGTGGATCAACTTTATTTTATTTTCCAATTGTTCCTACTGAGATCATTACTGTCACACCATTTTTGTCTGGATGTTGTGTCACGAACCAAGCTAATTGTGGCTTTCAGGATTTTCTCCATTGAGAAGCTCGACAACAACATGCTACAGCAGTCAATTCCACTTGCATACACCCCGCGACGCTTTGTGAAGCACCCAGAGCAGCCGCTATTCTATGTCATCGAGTCGGACAACAATGTCCTTGCTCCTGCCACGAGAACACAGCTGCTCGAGGATGCCAAAACCCGTGGTGAAGATGTAACTGTCTTGCCACCGGAAGAATTCGGTTATCCTCGAGGCTCTGGTCACTGGGCCTCTTGCATCCAGGTCGTCGATCCCTTGGAAGCTAAATCAGTTATCTATACCGTGGAGCTTGAAGAAAATGAGGCCGCAGTCAGCGTTGCAGCAGTTCCCTTCACCAGTCAGGACGATGAGACGTTCTTGGTTGTTGGAACTGTCAAAGACATGACGATCAACCCTCAGTCTTCTGCCGGAGGGTACATCCACATCTACCGTTTCCAAGAAGACGGTAAAGAGCTGGAGTTTATCCACAAGACCAAGGTTGACGACCCTCCTCTTGCCCTTCTTGGATTTCAAGGCCGTCTTATCGTCGGTCTTGGGTCTTTGCTGCGAATCTATGACCTCGGTATGAAACAACTTCTCCGTAAGTGTCAGGCGCCGGTTGTGCCTACGACCATCGTCGGTCTGCAGACCCAAGGAAGTCGGATTGTTGTTAGCGATGTCCGTGAGAGTGTCACCTATGTCGTCTACAAATACCAGGAGAATGTTCTGATTCCTTTCGTGGATGACTCGCTCTCCCGCTGGACAACCACCACTACGATGGTTGACTACGAGACAACTGCTGGTGGTGACAAATTTGGCAATCTCTGGCTGCTGCGCTGTCCCAAGAAGACTTCCGAGGAAGCGGATGAGGATGGCTCGGGTGCCCATCTGATTCACGAACGTGGTTATCTGCACGGAACCCCTAACCGCCTGGAGTTGATGATCCATGTCTACACCCAGGACATTCCGACCAGCTTGCATAAGACGCAGCTGGTGGCGGGAGGACGCGACATTCTCGTCTGGACTGGTTTCCAAGGCACCATTGGAATGCTGGTTCCCTTCATCAGTCGGGAGGATGTCGACTTCTTCCAAAACCTGGAGATGCAGTTGGCTGCACAGCACCCTCCTCTCGCTGGTCGGGACCACCTGATCTACCGCAGCTACTATGCACCCGTCAAAGGTGTCATTGACGGAGATCTGTGTGAGATGTATTTCTTATTGCCTAATGACACGAAGATGATGATTGCCGGTGAGCTTGATCGCTCCGTGCGCGAGATCGAGCGCAAGATTTCGGTGAGTCACTTTCGCGTGCTATTGAATTATTCGTGGCGATAACTAACCAAGAATGCAGGACATGCGCACCAGGGTGGCTTACTGATTTTGAAACGATGGAGATTCTTGGCGTCTAATCGGGATAACGTCGTGTATGCGGGTTCCTAGATACCCATAATTGATCGCAATGCCCATCATCACTTGTACAGTTTCCGCCATTCGGGTTTTCGGGTTTGGTGGGTTGTAGACCGGTAGAAACTTCCTGTTGCATGTCTCTTGCCTCGCTCGGTTTTCCGTTTTCCTCTCTCGGATGATCTTGAGCTGGATGCCGCTGTGTTTCTATCATCAGAAAGAGTGCAGATCGGTATGAGACGAGAGAAAAGGCATTTCTTCGGAAATGCCCTCGACGATCTTTGAGTACGATTTTATCCGTTGTTCTGCCACGGATCTCATCGTAATTTATAGTCGAGACATTACATTATATTCGAGCCTTGGTTTGTTTGTAGCAATCAATATAATATAAC